GAAACATAGGATAGAAACGCTTGAACATCGAAGTTCTACTTTCAATTAGTGAATTTTTATTTAAATTTATATTCCATTTTTAAAACACTTTAAATCATTTAAAGAAAATGAAAAAAATTTAGCATTTCTGTTCCGTTATTGATTCAGTAAAACACTTTTCATGCCATTTTACTGTTTCTCATTGTATTAGAAAAATATAAAATAACTGTAAAGTTTTACTTTTTTTTCTCAAATATTATTACCTACCAAAACAAATTGAAAAAAAGTGATTAATTGAAAATCTGATTTTCTTTATGCTCATAATAGTAATTGAAATTTTACAATTAAAGAGAAAGTCTTTTCTTTTTTTCGATCTTATCTTTCCTCTATTTTCTTCGATGTGTTATAAATCACTCGAAGAAATGAGTATCATTTTCCGAATGAAACTTTTGATTTGATTTTCAGTAAATTATTTCGCAATTTTCCGTTAATCCACTCTCATTTCGATTATAGCATATCTATATTTCACTAGAAATCGCAAATATATTTCTCCTTGTAGACGAAATTCACAATGTTAATGAAATCGTTCAAAATTCCTTGCAATTCATTTCAGTAATTATTACAGTTTCAAACAGAAATTTTAATTTCATACTAAACAATTTTGGTAATGACTGCTAGTCGCAATTAGAAAAAGATTAATTAATCTGATAAACATTTCGAAAGGAAAAATGTCTTAAAAAGCAAATGTAACATTAAGTTATTGTTTACAATAGTAGTAACAATTTTTTTTTTCTCTTATTGTAAATGCTGTAATAATCGCAATGGTAAAAAAGTGAAAAGATTATGAAAAATCAGGAAAAATTACAACTTTTCGAATTAATGCTCAAAAATGGTGGAAAAAGAAAGACTGAAGAAGGGGAAGTGCAAGGAAGTTAAGAAGATAAATGTACGCCTGAAAGCTTCGAAGTTTTTGATATATTTTCGTTTTTTTTTTTTTTTAAAAAAGATACCGTTGGCTTTAAAAAGTCAAAAATGTACACAAATAATCTTCTTATCATATGTTGCAATTTGTATTAAAAACATAAACATATATATATATAGCTTTGTAAAGAGATAAAATGATAGGTATAGAATTTGTATTGAATTAGAAATTAAAAAAACAAGAAGTTCAAGAAGATATTGAAAATTAAAAGATATGATAGGATGATATTCATCTAGCAGTTATTGATTGAATCATCCATAAATTATTTTAATTCATTATATTTAAACCTGGACTATGAACTTTTCTACTGCATTAGTCTGTTATGTTTAACATTTACATTCACATTTATTTCTTTCTCTCTCTCTCTCTCTCTCCATATATATATATGTATATATATGTATAACAGATCACATGCGAACGAATAATACCGAATTTCTTCTCATTAATCAAAATTGAATAACATTTTTTTTCATTTATCAAAAACTGTTACATATAAGAATTTCCATTATTATGATATCTTGAACTTGAAATTATCACATTATCACCCCATCCATTTACTATATTCATAAGAGTATAAATCGTAAATATCGATAATAGTTAAATATATATCATAACATAATAATAAGATGGCAACTATATGTCAATGACTACAGTATGATGATAATAAATGTGATGATAACGATATTATGATTAAATATGATTTATTTTCTTCCCATTTATTCTGCCTTAATATAAGTCTATTAGAAACTAAAAAGTAAAATAAAATTAATAATATAAATAGCAACCCGATCGCCTGTGGTAAAAACTCAAATACTGTTTTGATGGATGAAATTAGCTTCAGTTCTATCAATTACTTTAAATATTTTCGTTTTTTTTTTCTGCAATACAATTTACTTTATCAAAGTCAGTTACACTCCATGTTATACGGTATGAATCATCATTGAAAATTGAAGCAAATCAAAGAACATTCCACCATAAAAGTTAAAAAAAGAGCTAATTGGAGTAAGCACAAAAACATTCGCAACAATTAGACGGTCATTTAGGTAAACAGTAGTAATAGCTTGTTTATTATATTTAGCTAATGATATTATCGTGATGAAATGATTTATTTACATATTTAAAACTTCTTCGTTTCTATTATTTTGATTTTTAAACAAAAAAAAATTCATCCATATTTTTCTTCTTCCTTCTTTTTCTTCAAATTTCGTTCACTTTTTTCTTCCTTTTCCTTCTCTCTCTCTCTCTCTCTCGCCCTCCCTTTCTTAAAACTTATAACATATGCATGCATCAATTCAGAAAGCTCCAATTATTTCGTACTTTCTTTCTATAAGGGAAAGTCAATTTGATGAATGGGTGCTTTTCAGAAATTATTATAACATTTTTATGACAAGAAAAACATATGAAAAGCATTGGAAAAGTTTTCCTCTCTTTTTTTCCTCTCTCCGTTCTTCTCTCTCTCTTCTTTTTGATTCAAATTGTATCTTTCCATGATAATCTCCCTTCCACTGATTAAATAACTTTACATTTCAACATTCAAGCTAGTATTTTTCCCGTACACGAAAGCTAATTTGTAATATTGAAATATTTAAATTATAAAACCTGTCTAATTTTTGTTATAATAAAATATTTACATTGTAAAATTTGTATTATACGCGATTATATGAATAACTTTTTGCCTTTAAGATATTGGAATGTGTATGTTAATGACTTAAACAATTATAAGCATCAAATATTTCCAAATAATAGTGAAAAGAAAAAGGAAACTCTGAAAAAATACTTGTATTCAATAATAAATAATAAGAAAAAGCAACGAAAAATTCCATTGTTGGATTGCAAAAGACATTCAGTAAAACGATCAAAGGATTAATTAATTTATTGAATATTAAATTTTATGTTCTCATTTAAAATAAGAAAACATCCCCGTAATTTCTTTTATTAATATACATTCATATTATTCCGATATTTCTATACTATTATAATTCACCTTTTCTTATTGCAATATACATTTTATTTTTTCAGTTCAATTCGGATTTTTAATTTACATTTGAGATCGCTTTTTGCATCATTATATATTCTTCCGGTTATCAACAACATTAACAATGCTATTAAATTTATAATAAATATTAGATTTGTCAATTTTCAAAAAAAATAGCAGCTTTGGGCAATTTTCTTGTTCTTCCCCTTTTCAGGCTATTTATAATTCCTACATGATAGAGAGATTTTCTAGTTGTTTCTTGAGACTTGCAAAGGAATGCAAACAAAAGAAAAAGCAGCAACAAAAGGATAATGGAATGAAAGCATTTGTATTATTTTTAACAATTTAAACAGAAAAAGATTTTGAAACAAAAATTAAAAAAAAAAGTAAGAAAGGATTTAATAAAAGCAACTGCTTAAAATTTTTTATCTTTACTTTTATTGCAGTTACATCATCATGACATCGTATTTTTCAACCCCTTAAATTTATTTCTTCCTTTTTTTTTTTATCTTTCTTTGAACACGACACGATATAACAACAATACGAATACGATACATACAAATACTTTTCGTCATATTATTAGTTAGCTTCATTTGTTCTGTCGAGAGCGATGAAAAAAGAACAAAAAAGGAAGGAAAGAGGAAGAAGTGAAAGATGTCGTTGATGTTAAAAAATATTATCCTATCAGCCTTATCAGTGAACTAAATGATAAGGTTGCAAAATATAATTTTAATAAAAAAAATCTTAGCAAAAAGAGAAGGAATGTTACACTTTTAATGTACAGTGTTTGTCAATAAAAAAAAAAGAAAATCAAACAATAAAATAAGAAAAAACGAGAAGTGAAAAAATGAGCAAAAAATAAATAAAAAGTAAAAAAAACAAGTGCTTTTATTCGTTGATGTACAGATGGAATGAGAATATTAGCTGTTGTTGTTGCTATTTGGATGACCCAAATGACCAACCAATTTAAGTGGAAGGAATATTTACTACTATTCATGTTGCTTCTGCTTCTGTTGTTGTTGTTGTTGTTGTTGCTATTGCTATTTGGATGACCGATGACCAATCTGAGTGAAGTATTTGCTCCTGTTGTTATTACTGTTGCTGTCGTTAAATGACCGATGACCAATGTATATGTAGTATATTATGTATATGTGTGTGTATGTATGTCTATTTGTTTGCATGTATGTGTGTGTATGTGTCTGTCTTCTGTTACTTACTGCTAATCTATGCAATTATGCGTATTTTCTATCCCTTCGATAGCTTGTAACCTTTTGATTGATATGAGAAAGTTAATCGTGAGGTAGAAAGGTAAACTCTGCTTGTTCTAAGAGGGCACAAAGAGAACGAGGAACAAGAGATAAGTGTTAAGAGGAGAGGAAAAGAAAGAAAGTGCGTGTGGAAAATTTAGAATTATCTAGTTTTATTTATTTTTTCTTGAGGAAAAGAGTATGAAGGTTGAAATAGAAAGATGGAGAAGAAATGCTAATTATAATGCAGGCAATGATGTCATCCTCTTCTTGTACTCACTTTTTGTCTTGCCTCGACAAGGATGACAAAAGTGAAGGAGATAAGGGACAGGAGAGAGGGAAAACAAGGGTAACTATTAGATTCTCCCAAAAATCCTTTCTCGTTTTTTCCCTCCTACTCTTTCCTCCTCCTAGGCCATTCATTTACCTTTCCTACCCACTGCAACAATATGACAACATCCTCAAGGGTATCAGTACAAATATATATACGCACACAAGCAAACAAACAAACAAATAAACATAAATACACATTGACAGGGGTAGATAAACAGTGAAGTATAGGTTTATGCCTAATATATTACAACACCAAATAAGTTTATTTCTTGTCCACTTCGCACAGCTAAGGGCACTACGATGCTTTCTGTCATATTACATATTACAAACAATGATTAAAAAAAAACTATGATATCGCAGTATAACGATATCACTATATCACATTATGATAACTCGCAACATCGTAATACCATGGTTTGATAATATCGTAATATCACTACATCACAATATTATTGTAATACCATTCATAAATGATGAATAAATTTTAAAGTGATGGGAGATTATAGATATGCATGCATATTATGCTGCTCTAAATTGCGATAAGATAAAACAATTGAAACTGTCTCAATTTGAAATGAGCATTGTCTCATTTATTTGATACGATTTATTGGAGATATATTTGAATACAAAATACTGATACCATTAGTAGTGTTGTGATATATCTGACAATGCTAATGTTAATGGTTGTCGCCAAGCATAAACTAAACCAAAAGTTAATGAAAAAAATTCGATCATTTTAAGTTGAAAATAGCAAAAGTAGAAGTTTTTATGTTTACAAATGTAGAGGTAGAAAAAGGAAGTAAAAAAGAAAAAAGAGAAGGAAATAAAAGTAAAATAAACACAAGCCATGGAGAACTGTTTAAACTGATAGATGAGCCAGCATAAAATGATGACGACGGCAACGACGATGAAATAGGTGCCAGTTTTATCAGGAAGAAATGATAACCGAGGGAGCAACGTGTATGGTGAGTACTGAAAGGAAAAAAAAGGATTTTTTTTTTGTATAACTGTTTTTTATTCCAGTAGAATGAAATAAAGAAAATATAGAAAGTTTGAAATAATTCTACTTTAGTAACAATTTTTCAATTCACATTTATTAGATTATAATTTTAATCAAACAAAGTGGATTTTCAATTTCTGGTTTGCACGTATGTATGTGTATGCAAGCATAGCTATGAATTTATTTAGCGTCAAATTGCATTTCATGCGACATGATGCTACACGTGATGTGATAAATTAAATGCTGGATTCGATATTACCAAGTGAAAAGAAATCTTGTAATACTAACTGATCCTATTTAATCAATTTAAATCAATTGTGGGCAAAGAGGAAATTAACCATATCCAATCAATTTATGGCGGTATCATTTTAACTTCACCAAAGCCTTTCAGAAAGTTATTTTGCTATTTACTATTAACACTCAACATTCACTTTTACTCTCAACTTCAATTATTCAAATGAAACTTAGTTAATTATTCAAGTCGAAAATATTATTTAACTTGTAAAATTTCATTTTCATTTTTTGTTTTTAATTTTTCCTACTGCTCACCACCATATCATTTATTATTATTACTCAATTCAACCTTTTAATGAAAAAAGAATTGAAAAAAAACAACATTATGCATGATAATAATACACTGATAGCTATATATATATATATAATACATATTTGCTTCACTTCATTCCTAAAATTGATGTAATTGTTAAAAACAATTTTTATTAAAAAATGTTGTTAACGTTATTATCAGTGTTATCATCGACTCATTCTATATAATCACAATACTATTTATAATTATAATCATAATAAAATTGTTATTATTATTATTTACTACTCACTACAGTTATGTTTAACAATAACTTAAAACTAAAGTGGTAAAAAAAAATGTTGGTAAGACCACTAATTTTGTTTCTCGCCGTCTATGATCATAAAAATTAATTTAAAGTCATAGGTAGAATAACATCCTTCTAAAAAGGACGAGGACAAAGGATGAGAATGGAAAAGAGTACTATTACAAAAGTTACGATAATATTAGAAATTTGAAACATTTAGTCGAACCACTCAACTCTTCCAGTATATAATTGTCTCTTACTGTAAAATGGTAGCAATAGTTAACGATCGTGTTGATGCAGTATGATTGCGAAAAAGAATAAAAGCAAAGATGAATGAATTTTTGTCGGAAAACACGGAACGACGTAAAATAGCTACGTTAGGGACTAAGTTAGCTTCATAATATTAACTTCTGATTGATGTATGCCAAAACACAATGTTGTATGTTTATAATGTCCGACAATTTTTAGTGAAATTAAGTTTGTATTTATGAAATCAAAAAATAACTTTTATGGAGCTTTTTTTCAAATTGTTTTAACAAAAATACCAAAATTTCCTTTCTTTCTTTTTTTTTTTCATTTTTCTACCAAATCATAAGTTTTTACTTTAAAGCTACAAATAAAATCTTTTGATGTTATTTTTCATTCAGTGAATCCAATCGTTAAATGAAATGAAAAAAAGTACATTTATTTATTCACACAATCAAATGATCGAATCCTAGAAATTGGTAGTCACTAGAAAAATGAGTGTTATTTATTTAGTTGTGAGAAAAAAACAAAAATAAAAATGAACGAAGAACTCCATTTGAATTTCAAAAATTGAAGTCAGAATTTTTAAAAATTCAAAATTTGAAAATATTTTTAATTTCAGAGGATGCAAATATTAATGTTTTTATTCTTATAAATTTTTATTCTTAAAATTTTTATTCCCACTTGACTTAAATATTGAATTTACGGCTTGAGTTTTAGCAAAAAAAAAATCCTTCATGTTTCGTTTTTTCTTTTTTTTTTAAAAAAAAAAACAATTTTTTGCAGCAGCTAGAGATGAAAAAGCGATACTTGTTGCTTCCATTATTTGTTCAAAAGCGTTAAAGTCAACAGTTCGCAATATATGCAACGCTTTCTTATTTTCATTTGTACTGGACAAATTCTAACTAATGTTACCTTCTCGTTTTGTTCATTGACAGATAGAAGTGGTCGCAAAGGAAAATTTTTTTTGCATTTTCCTTTTTTAAACCACTTTATTTTTTCTCAACTAATTAACATATTTAATTGTTTTACATTTTGCATCACTTGGAAAAAATTTAACTTAAACTTTTATTTGTTTATTTAATTCATTTAAACCCTTTTATCGTTTGATCGTTAATGAAATAACTGTTGATGCGAGGGAGGTGGTAATAACAGTAATATTTACAACAATATTAGTATTAATAACAGCAACTAATGATAATGATGATGATGATGGCAATAATAGTAATAGTAATTAATAATATGGTAATTAAAATAATAATTATTATTATTATGATAACAGTAAAAACAAATATTGCTTGCTATATGCAACAGTTTTCTGCCTATCATCCTATTCGGACAGCCGGATGGTAAAAAGTAGCATATTTAATTAATAGTAAAAATGGATTAAATTATGAATCAACAATTAAACGGATGCAAACAATACAACAATGCTATTTCTAGTCATTTTCATTCACTTATAACGTTGATAGAAAAAGAAGTATATAAAAAGTTATTTAATCATAAGTAATCAATTATACTTATAAACCACTAATGCCCAATGGCTATTGATGTGAAATGGTTATTTCATAAAATAATTTTTTGCACTTCGTAATAATTAATAAGAATGATAATTATAATAATCATCATTATAAAAGCTTTGCCAGAGAGATGAAAAGGAGAAGAGAATGTGAAATTTCGAAATGAGAAAGTACATGGAAACAATTTGAAACGGATTGTCTGACTGCATCTCTGCTTCATTTCCATCAACGTCCTTTCTACTTTTTAACTGAAGCGATAATATCCCCTTATGAACAAACAAATAATACTGCTTGTATCATTCGTTTTTTGCTTTCCGTATTGTTGCATGTTTAATGAAGAAAGTGGTGGAGTAATAAAAAATAGAAGGAAGAGTGAGGTGATGAAAATGAGTGGAATGAGGATAGGAGGAAAGGTGAGGAAGAGAGTAGGTGGAAGCAGATTGATTTCTAATATTTACGTCCTCTTCTTAGTTGGTTGTTTGAACCGTATGTGCATGTTTTGTAAATACGGTTGCAAATATATCCATTTCTTGGTTTAACTGTTTTATGGTAATCAATTTATTTTTTAATTTAAATTAACAGAAAGATTAGTTTCGTGTAATATAATTAGTATAACATGCGGTATATATTATAATATAAAATATTTTATATAACATACTATAATATGATATTGTAATAAAAATATAATATAATATAATATTTAATAATAGTATAATGTAATAATTGTAAATGTAATATAATTTTATACTAGTGTAGTGTAATATATTACTTTACATTGTGTTAATCCTATTAACAGTATTATACTATCTACATAAACAAGTTTGATAATGGTAATAAATATAAAATATAGCATAAACATAGCAGAAACAAAATAAAAATTAATGATAAATATTGTAGTAAAGTTTTGATAATATGCCTAGCGTAATAGAACAAAAAAAAAAAAAAAAAGTAAAGTAACGGAATACAATTTGCGCAATGAATGTAATATGGTTGGACGTGAATAACTCCATATCTAAGAGTAAGGAAATGATAAACCTATTAAGCAAAGTGTGCTGAAATTTTAAGATTTTTTAATCAATACCGAGTCATGAAATTTGCAGATGTCTTCATTTAACTTTATTTATTAGAATTAATAAAAGATAAACATAACTGATTGTTAACTGTAAATGAAAACATATATGAAAATAGTATGCATGTGTGTTATAAAAAATTGGAACAAAAGTTGAAAAAAAAAGAAAGTAATTTAACTTCTCCGGACGATACTGTCATCTGCAATTGTAATTGGAAATATTGCAATAAATTAAAAAATCATTTTTGATTTTTGTTACATAGTTGAAAGTTGCTTACATACAATGGAAAACAGAAATTGTTTTTCTATTGAACCCCAAAAAAAATGATTCAATGATAAAAAGAAAACATTCATCATATTACTTTTTCGAATTCTTAGAGGAAAAAAGTCACAACAGGAACTCATTGTGCTGGGTAGAAAGTTATTTATTTGTTCATATCTATATATTTTTTGTTTGCTTGTTTATTGTTTGTTTGTTTGTTCGTTCATTTGCGTGTTTGGTTATACATGTATTTATTTCTTCGCTTACACCTGTTTATTTATTTGTTTATGTATTTATTTACCTCCTTATTCATTATATATTACTCTTTTGTAGTTATATTGCTTTCATAAATGCACAGTTTCTTCAATAAATATATTTTATAAAATATTTCCCTTACACTGCTTTTTGCTTTTATAGAAGATATATTGTTTATCTGGTAACCCAGTTTTTGCCTTTTCAATTGCGCAATAAAATGAATTGATCAAATAATAAGTTTTATAAACAAAAGAATAATGTGGTACGATTAGGAAAAATGAAATGCTTATTCTATTTTGCTGTTTTAAATGCCTTCATAAACAAAAAAAACAAACGGATGGGAAGATAAATAAGCACGAGAGCAAACAAACAAATTTAGAAGCAAAAAAAAAAAAAAAAATCTAAAGCTTTTTACAATTCATTCTACTAGATCATTATCCTATTGTTCTTGTTTACTCTAATCTACTTAATTGATCTTATCTGTATGTGATTTATTAATACTTATTAAGATTTATTTTGATGTGTTCGATAACTTTGATTTATCTTACTTGGAACACTCTAGCCATGTTAATTTACCTTAATTCCTTAACTCTTTTGATTGTTTCATTTTATTTGACTTAATTTATTTGATTTAATTTCTTTTCACTGATATTCTTTACTTGCAAAAGTGTTGTAACAGCAATAAAAACCGATAAAACTATTGTAAAACATAATTTTGCTAATTCCAATTTTTAATTTTATTATTAATTTTGATTTATAGTTTTCTCCGTGATACAAATACTAATTCACATATTATTATAACATATGAATGCATAAAAATAATTGAAAATAAAAAATAAATAAAATGTTAAATGAATTTTCCTTCTTCAATGTTTTTTCTTCTAATTTATGAACTGTTTTATTTATCGTGTTGAAAATTAATTCCTTTAAAAAAACTTAAATATATATAATATCACTGCTATCATATCATATCATATCACTACTATTACTATATACTTCTATCATACTAAAGAATGCTATTAAATATTCGTTTTTTTTTTTTTTTTTTTAAATGATATCATTCATTTTATGTTTCGACATTTCAATTTTGCGTATGTTTAACTAATTTTACGTATATTTAATCATAATTATAGTGAATGTATCTTGAAATTTTTGTTATATATTTGAAGATTTTTAATTAAATTTATTCATTTCGAGTAACATTTTAGTATTTGATTACTAGTAGTAAATAAAATTTTTACACTGACTACGATATCAAAATGATGAAGTTTGCCGTATTATGACAATTACATTTTCTTGATTTCTTAGAATTGTTTTCACGTGATTTTAATATTTTAACGTGCATAAAAGCTTAGACGGAATTTCGTGAAAATGAATGAAATATAGTAAATATATAATTCTTCGTACTTAAGGATATTTGATAGCAGTTGGCCAAG